CAAATTTATAATCTGATTCTAACCATAACAGAACATCGGGCAACCATGAACAGAGGGATTCAGTTACAAAAAAAAAAAAAAAAAAAAAAAAAAAAAAAAAAAAAAAAAACTAACCTTTTCCTTTTTTTTTTTTCAAAATTGTCAGTGCCAACCCTGGAGATGTAACTCAACAGTAGAGCACTTTATCTAGTAAATAGGACCCTCTGGATTCTACCCCCAATATTTAAAAAAGAAACAATTTCCTGTCCAAATGTCAACATTCATATACGCCTAGTGGGAAACAAAACACCCCAGACTAAAAATGACCAAACTAAAGGGACAGTACACTACAATGTATGATCCTTAACAGAGTCCTAGATCGCATAGATAGTCATAAACCACCACCAACAACAACAACAACAACAACAAAACCACTGTTAGGCTTGCCAGGTGGCTCAGCTAGTAAATACGCTTGCTGCTAAGCCTTACAACCTGAATTTGATTCTCTGAGTCATCAAGAAGGAGAACCACATAAACTTAACAGTTGTCTTCTGACCTCTACCCCACCAATCAATAAATAAATGTGGAAAATGTTAAAAATAGTCCATACTATCTCCATTTGCCTATCACACCCCAGTTCTATCTCACGACCTTGGCAAGCTGTGGCATCCACAAACTATTTTGTCTGGCACCCAGCCCCATCACTACTCACTGAGCATGCACGTGCACAAGCATCAACTCTGTGAGCATGTTCTGTTCGACACCAACAGGGCAAGATCCAGGTATTCTGCTCTGTGTTCTTTCTCAGACGGTAGTGCTGGCTTTAAGACATCCAAAGGCTTGATGCCGTAGCTCCAGGAGTCACAGCACAAACATCACGGACTGGCTTAGAGGTGTGCCAACAGTCATCTCTGTGAGAGGTTAAAGTCCTGTGTTTAGGAAAAAAAAATGGTTGGCATCTTCAACCTCCTCCCAGAGGCTAGATAACCTAGGAACCTAATGTAAAACCAAATAATACTGGTCTACAAAAAGAAAAGAAACAATGCAGTGGTAAATGACTCCTAATGATATTCTGCCATCCTCATCGACCAGTGCCTTGTTCAATCACCATCAGAAAAGCTTCCTCCTGCAGCAGATGGGAACAAATACAGCCACAACCAGACCATGTGCAGAGAGTGATACCTTGGGACACTCAGCTCTAAATGGGATGTCTCCATGAAATCCCTTCCCTTAGAGTTCAGGGAACCCTGTGGAAGAGGAGGTGGAAAAGAGTGTAAGAGCTAGAGGGGATGGGGAACACTAAGAAAGCAAGGGTCTCTAAATTTTTACTTGGTTTAAGACCTGGACTCAGAAATCAAATAATAATACATGTTTAAAATTCACAACCAAAAAAAATTATTAGGTAGTACTAATAACTATTGTAAAGATGGTTTTGGATGCTAAAATTATTCTAATTTTAACTTACTTTTTAATACCCCCCCCCTTTTCATTAAAGACAGAGTCTGACTATGTAGCCTTGGATGTCTTGGAACTCCTTGTGTAGACCAGGTTGGCCTTGAACTCACAGAAATTGACTTGCATCAGCTTCTGAGTGCTTAGATTAAAGATGTATAACACTACAACAAGCTAAAAATCCTTTTAATAAAAATACTTTATTCGCCGGGAGTTGGTGGCGCACGCCTTTAATCCCAGCACTCGGAAGGCAGAGGCAGGCGGATCTCTGTGAGTTTGAGGCCAGCCTGGTCTCCAGAGCGAGTGCCAGGATAGGCTCCAAAGCTACACAGAGAAACCCTGTCTCGAAAAATAAAAAAAAAATACTTTATTCAACTAAAAATTGAGAGTTGTTGTGAGAGCCTGGGAAGTAGGAGGTGGACCAGAGAGGAATTAAGGGGAACAGTAGGGATAAATATGTTCAAAATACATTATTTGTATGAAATTCTCAAAGAATAAAGGTAATGAAAATTGAGACTCATTTAAATTCATCTTATGAAAAATCGCAGAAGATAACATTGCTAAATATGTCATTAATTTTTTTTACATTTATTTGTGTGCATGTCTACATGGTACATACCACCAATTTTGTGTGCAGGTCAAAGGACAACTTGTGAGGGTTGGTTTGTTTTCTCCACCATGTGGGTCCCAGGAATAGAACTCAGGTCCTTGGGCTTGGAGCAAATACCCTTAGCTGATGAGTCATTTGCTGTCTGATATTACTATGTTTTCTAGATTTGAGAATTGCATTATAGAAAAGTTAGAGAATAGCATTGTTAGAAGATAATAATGAATTGGATGGTAAATTTTTGAGGCTAAAATTATAATTCTGGTGGAGTTACAGAAAAATACAAGGAATGAGAAGGACCCAAAGGTGCCGCTTGTTGCCATGGCTTCAGCAGCCGCTTCTCTTTCCTGAAAGTATTTGGTCCCTGCAGGTCTGGATTGGCTCTGGCCCTCAATAGAAACGTAATTATATTCTTTACTCTTAAAAGAGAATGGGTTGAAAGAATTGAACTGTCAGTGGAGTCCTTAATTGGTGTAGATAATAAAAGGCCGAAGTCAGATATAGAGGGAAATGCTGACAGATCAGAGAGAAGGAGCAAGCCACAGCACACCTTACCTCCTAAGTGTCTCCACAGAGAAGAGAGTAATATCCTGTTTTTTCCTGCTTATATACTGTTACTGCCCAGCTACGTCACTTCTTGCCTGTCTGTACAGACATCCAGACCACCATGGTTAGCTAATGGCACATTCCATTCTCTGACCCCCAGACAGGCTTTATTTGTGTGAGAAAGTTATCACCACATTAAACTATTATTAGCAAAATTAGTGCCATGCCTTCTTCCTGGCTGCCTAGCTAAATGCTAACCTACATGCAAGGAAGACCAAGACCCAAGGCAGAACATAAGGAAGAAACTGACTATAAAGATAAGAATGTTTAGGGGGAGAACAACTGGAAAGATGTGTGTCAAAAGGTACAAAGTCACAGTGGTATAAGATGAACTGATCTCTAGATCTGGTGTACGACATGAAGATGATAGTTGAATAAAATTGTATGGCATACTAGAAATTTGCTGGGAACAATTATAGGTTCTTTTATAAGAGCATGAGAAGGAAGGAGAAAGAAAAGGAAGTAAGCTATGCGAGATGATGGATATATTAATTAGCTTGACTGGAGTAATACCTTCACTGCAATAATAATAATAATAATAATAATAATAATAATAGCTGGGCAGTGGTGGCACACACCTTTAATCCCAGAACTAGGGAGGCAGAGGCAGGTGGATCTCTGTGAGTTCGAGACCAGCCTGGTCTACAAGAGCTAGTTCCAGGACAACCTCCAAAGCCACAGAGAAACCCTGTCTCAAAAAACCAAAATAATAATAATAATAATAATAATAATAATAATAATAATAATTGCAACTTGTAAAGGCATCATG